GAGATCGTGACCTGGCTGAAGTCGGACGCTTAACCGACTGCGCCACCCAGGCGCCCCAGTTAAATATATTTATATATAGGGAGAGAGACAAACAGAAGAAGCGGGAGAAGGAAAGAGAAAAGTGAATATGGCAAAAGTTCAGCATTGTTAAAATCAGTAGCGGGCATGTGTAGTTATTCATTGTACTATTTCATGTTTCTGTAAGTTTGAAAATTATCATGCTAAGAAGTCAAATACAAAACTCACAGGGGCTGAGCCTTTGTGAAAGGAGCCCTTCAGGAAAACCTCCGATGTGGATTTGGGACCTCCCGCCCCTCACACACACCAGTCCAGTGCTGCACACGTTCCATTTTCACGGGAAGCAGATGCAGCTGCCCCTGTGTCTCTGGCTCTGCTGGCCGCTGGTCTCTCTCAGGCCTGCCAAAGCGCTGAAACATCCTTCCTGAAGCAGACTGCCCCCCTGGGATAAGGAAGGAGGATTATGTGCTCCCTGCAGGTCCTGGGTGGTGAAAAGGTTCTTTGTGGTAATTGGACTGCACCTGAAGGATCTTTGTCAAAAGTCTCTCTTGATTAGAAATCCTGTTTGTGTGCTCTCTCAGTCTTTCTTTTGTGTTTTTACAAATTTAAATGTGTTCTTTTGAATAGATAACACATTCACATGGCTTGGACAAAAGGGCAAACAGTAATCTTTTTCCCACCCCTCCGCCCAGCCATTCAGCTCTTTTCCTCCCCCAAGGCAACCCACGTGACCAGCTTCTTAGGTATTCTTTTGGAGATATTCACTTGTGCCAGCAAATATTTAAATGTATTTGAATATGTAAATTAATTCAAATATACCGCTCTTTACACAAATGGTACTATCTATTTATAGCCAATGCCCTGCCAAGCAGCTGGATTCCTGACATAACCAGAGAAATTGCAGGGTTTTTTTGAAAAGAAGAATCTAGTGCGCCTGTAGCTGGATCAGTGAACCTGAAGCATGACGAAACTGCTTTATGCTTTCAGACTCAAAACATAGCCAGTGGCCTGGGATGCTGGCCCTTAGATCACATGAAATCACATCAGATTTCTGCTTTGTCTCTTGATGCTAAGAGGTCAGTGGAAAAAACGTCAAAATAGTCTACTTTAAAGGCACAGGGGGCACCTGGGTGGCTCAGTTGGTTGAGCAGATGGATCCTCTGTCCCCCTCTCTCTGCCCCTCCCCTGCCTGCACTCTCTCAAAAATAAACGTTTAAAAATAAAATAAAATAAAATAAAATAAAATAAAATAAAATAATATAAAATAAAATAAAATAAAATAAAATAAAATAAAATAAAATAAAATAAAATAAAAGGCACAGGATCCATTCAGACAGCACATGGGAGAGGCTCTTCCATAAGCTGTTCTCGCTCTAGGACAGGATGTTACACTGCCCACTACTTCATTTGCCTAAGGCTTTATCTTCATTCAAAGCACCGAGACAGCTGCCACCTCATTTGCTTTTCAGATCAGCCCTGTGAGGGAGGCAGCACAAGCCTTTTTTTTTTTTTTTTTTCACACCAAACCTTTACTATTGAGAAAACTATGAGGAGGTAATGTGACTTGCCCGAGGTCGCTGATAAATTAGCATCCAACTTCTCCAATGCTCTTTCCATCTTGAAACAATGGATCAATATGGGCAACAAGGGTTGTTCTTTGCCCACTTGCCCTTTTACTGGTGAGTAGGGCTGCCAGATAAAATACAGGATATCCAGGGTGCCTGGGTGGCTCAGTTGGTTAAGCGGCCAACTCTTGATTTCAGCTCAGGTCATGATCTCATGGCTCTCATGGGATTGAGCCCCACTTTCGGGGACTCTGCACCGACAGCATGGAGCCTGCTTGAGATTCTCAATCTCTCTCTCTCTCACTCCCTCTGCCGCTCCCCCACTCATGCAGGTGTGTGCTCTCTCAAAATAAATAAATAAACATTAAAAAAAAAATACCCACTTAAATTTGAATTTCAGATAAACAACACATTTTTATTTCCAAATGAGACTACCAAGGTGGAGGGGAACCCACAGGGGATGATACGGAGCCCGCTGTACTTGGAAGGGATGGAGAACTCCCTCAGTATGGGCTAGGAGGTCAGCAGGTCTGCTCTGTTGTAGCTAAGTGTCTCAGAGTGATCTGAGTAGGGACTCAGATCATGTGCCCGTGGAGAGGTGGAACTTTAGGTACTTTGGCAGAAACGGTAGGAAGTTGATATACACTGGACACATACTATAGCCTTTGATGTGGTCCTACAGAAAAGAGGCACATTTAGGCTAAAAGCAGAGAAAGAAGAAAATACAGCTTCGCTGAGAGATTCTTTTTGACTACAGCCAAGAATACATACTGGTCAAGAGTCAAATAATACTCTTGTACTTTCCAAGTCAGAAAGAGTGAAATTCTTTGGCTTGTGCTAAAGTTTGTGCATGCAAAAGAACGGAGACATTTGTGACAGTGGTTTTAAAATTGTGTGTGCCTGTCAAATTCATAAAATGCTACACTTCAATACACCTGACTTCAAAAAAAAAAAAAAAAA